TTTTTTAACCCACGCACAATTTTGTTTTCGTGCCAAACTGCTTGGAACTCAAAAAGGTCACCATCAGAAGATTTAGAATGTGGGTGGAAGAAATATGTTGTTGTTTTCGGTGTTCTGTTGCTTGTACTCGACTCTTATTCGGATCTCAGTTATACGTCCTGAACTGCCAACTGCCGCTTAAAGTGCCAGGATGCCGTATGCGCGGCCTTGTTTTACGTTTCTTCCTTTTTTGCAATTTTTTTCTCTCATTTACCTTTCAGTATTGCAAGAATGTTTAAGTTTTTTTTAAAGGTTTTCTTTTCAGTCTGCGCCACGTTTCTTTATTGATGCACAGTGATTTTTGGCCAATTTTGAAGCTTCTTTTCTTTTTCCATTTAACTTGCTATTTAATATTATAACACGGAATTTTTTTTCTTCGTGTGACGGCCAAAAATTTTGGGCGAATTTCCTCCAAATGAGTTCTGTTGGAGATTTTTTTTTCAAACATCGCAGTTTGTTAGCTGACACATAACTGACATGCCGTTCATGAAAAACAAATTATCTACCTTGATATGAAAGATATTTTAAATTGCTTTGCCGGCAAAGGATGTTGCTTTTATGTATTTTCCGCAGTTTAAACTTAGAGACTCTTGCGATTGGAATTTTTTTTATAGCTCTTGATATTTTATAACCTGCTGAAACATTTGAAGGGGGCACTGCCGCACGCGCCATACCATGACCGTTGATATTTACTGTCACCTGAAACACGGTAACATATCAGACTTCTAAATCTTTAGGATTCCTTACTCCTGAGTACGGTACTAAAAGGCAACAAGATATTCTGACTCAGTAAATCTACAGCGAAATCCTAGGCTTGACTGGCCGTCAGAGTGAAAGCTTTTCGGCAGCACCTTCACATGGTGTTGTTTTATTTTTCCTTTTTCGACACTGTTGGGTTGAAAAGGGTTGAAACAAATTAAAAAGTCTAGCAGTTAAAATTTACATTTCAGCTCCCACCCGTTTACACATTTTCAGGCCACTCCACTCCGCTCGAGTTGCGGAATTTTTTCTCGTTTCCCTCAGCTTTCCCATGGTGACTATTCAGTCTTTGACCAAAGTTTAGCCCGCCGAAAGAATTATATGCGGCATCCTTTGCAGCCAGTTTGCCGGAAAGATTAATCGTGATATCACTGCCGGAGTCAATTACAGATTCATGCGATGCGGTCAGTTTTTGCGCTGTAGCTAGTGTGACCATTCAAAGATATATCCTTCTCAGTACTTTTATATGGTTGAATTTGTCTTTCAATATCCTGCAAAAGAAATTTCGATAGTTTGTCTCCGCAACTTGTGACATTGACTGAGGGTTAGAAAGAGGCAAACTTTTTTGATACCCTGCGAGCAGAGGCCCTTCAGTCTTCCTAGAGAAGATTGATCAGCATCAATTTTCTTCTAACAATATCCGTTTATCGTCAAAAGAAACCAGTTGATGAGAACTTTTAAAATGATCATCAGAAAGAAAACTGTTTTAATCTTTTATCAAATTCGTTTGTTAGGTCAGGAGAATTTGTGTGTGGATATTGCCGCAGAGCAATATCTTGCTTAGCCAACAAAACTACAGCGCAAAAAAGCACGGGTTTTACTGAGTGAAACGGCCTTTCAGTGATAATAGCCTGGTCAGTGAGACTAGGAGAAGAAACAGTTAGCACTGACAAGAGAGGACTCTTAGGGGATTAGTGTCCTCCCTTTTTTGTTTTGTTTTCCTTTGTTATTTTTCAAGTTACTGAAACATATCAATTTATACTTAGACTGGAAAGAGTGTAAAAATACTTGAATGCTGGACTGTCAACAGTCCATGGACTGTGGGAGTGCATGCTAGAAGAAAGCCACGATTGAACTATATTTGTACTGAGTCTTTGACCCATGTCATACCTAGCTGATTAGAAATAGAGACCCTATCGAATACTCAGTGCACTTTATAGATTGCCTTTTACAGGGGAAATGGCAAACTGAACCATGTACCACACATTGCAGATCAGACAGAACTACCGTTTTTCTTAGACAACAGCCCTGCCCCTTGGAAGAGACGCATAACTAAGTAACTTATAATAAGAACTGATCCGGACCTCAGCTCCCTCGACACCCGAGTGTAATTTGTATTTCCTTCCTCGTCATGTCTCGATGCTTCGCGCGTTCGGCTCCCCTGCGCCATGCAAAGCAAAGGATTTTTGGAATGGTTGTAGCGTTTTTTATTTTAAACGTAACGCGAGACGCGGCGGGATTGAACGTTACTAAAGAGGAATGGGTGAGGAACTGATGAAACCCGATGAAGCCGGGTGGTATCTTGTTTCGAGTGCAATGTGATGCATTGTGAAAGAACAACAGTCCATCCATTTTTGACAATTTTGCGTTCATCTTCAGTCTTTCTTTTTTCCTTACGAAATGGTTATACACGCAAGCGTTGTCGTTAATGATGCCGGTTACACCACAAACTGTAATTTGCTGTAATTTCACTTGCGCGGAAATGTGACTGAAATGTATCGGCACGCACGCCCACGAAACTCTTTGGGTTGTTACTGCTGCATAAAGCAGGGCAATTTTGTTTTCTCGTGAAAATAAGCTATTTATAAGACTATTAACCGGAAAGAAGAGGAAATGGCCCAAAATTAAAACCGTAGATTGAAAAAATTGGCCAGGAGGCGGTTTTTCTTCGTAACGCTGTAAGAATCTTAGAAACAAACACATAAAAAAACAACCTCTATTTTCATTGAATTCCGCTATTGTTAAGCTAAACGACGAAAATAACAAAATTCAAATATCCAAGTTCGTGGAAAGATCCCGATTTGCAGGAGAGTTTTTTTGGAATGCGTCATAGCGAATGATGAAACAAGTACGTGAGACTGCACTAGGAAAAAACTTGATACGTGCGTTTTCTTTTCCACGCTCTGAGCGCAGTTCGGGGAGGCGTGCATTTCCATGCGACCCCTCTGGACCCTTCTCGAAAAATCCACATGTCGCAATCCGCGTCATGTCAAATTCTACGCGTTTCGCTCATTTTTTTGTCCGCAACGGCAACTCAGTTTGATGTAACGAATGTCAGTGGTTTCGAAAAGAAACTGAAGACCATTAGATGAACGGGAAGAGATTTGTAAAAGTGCTAGAGTTGACGCGGTTTCCTTGAAGGCCTTTATCACTGACAATTGTTGAGTAAAGAGAGTGCCGGAAACACGGTCCGTGATTCCGTCACAGAAGAATAAACAGTCTTAACCTTGATTTGAATAAAAAGAATAACAACTCCTATGAGCAGTAAGATTTAATTTCCCTGGTTTCTTTCACAACAACACGAGTTCTTTATCTTTTTAATGCCATAACCGCGGGGCTTGAATTTGATAGGCTCCCAAGTAGATTATCTTTCTTTTCCCTTGAAGGACTTGAAGGTCCAACTCATCTTCGTAGTACACATGAACCGCTAATTTCTACAGACAATTTTGAACTGACACGTTCTAAACCTTCTATTTTTTTCGATGTAACCATTCAAATTCAGCTGATTTTTACATTGTATTATTTATTTTTAAGTATTTTACAACATGAAATTTTGATTTTTGTTTAAACCGGTTTAATACCCTCAGAGTAAACTTTTACTTCCAGTGAAATCTTAGAGTAGTAGTGGTAGTAGTGTTTTCAAAGAAAATCGTTGGACCAATACCTGTGGTGGCTTTTGTATGTCTAAATTTCTACGAAAGAAAAAAATAAAACCGGGAAAAATAAAACGGGCTAATTTTAACTCCTTGATTTGCTTAGTTTATCGCTTGTCATTTGCACTTTTTAAATAACTGTTCTTGTTGTTAGGTAGGTTACGCGCCAAAATCCAAACAGAGCTTGGCGGCGGCATTAATCACGAGATCATTGAAGCGCGCTCATTTCGTTCACTTAGAGTAATTTGGCGGTAAATTGTTTAAGCGACACACCCTGTCCCTTGGGAGTACAAACACAATGGTATGATTAGCAAATGAATGGCATTTGCAAATAACAAAAAACAATCATTCGTGACGTGTCACATTGAAAAATACGGCGAAAGCGCATTCTACCACGTACTGGCGTTTGCCTAACCCAGGTCTTTATCGCCGTCTGGACATCAAGTGTCGAACAAATTAGTGGCAAAAAATTGAATTTCCGTAACTTGTTTGGCTCGGAAGACTACGTAAACAATCAGAGTATTTTTTGCTAACTCACGCTTGAATAACGCCATTGTCAGATTACACTCTCGACCTTTGCAAGGATTAATTATTTTTATAGCGTTTTGTGTTACGAAGTTTCTTGATCACCAAGAGAGAGAGATCGAATAGCACTTTTAATTTGCTCAGAGGTAATCTTTCACTCTATTTCTGGAGTAAAAGTCTAACTTTTCTCGAAGAGTTATTCTTCACGTTCGTTTCATAAAACTCCGTATTACCGCAAAGTTATGGGATACAAACCAGTCCCCTTCATCAATCAGCTGATAGCGGTGTTTATCTTATCCCGCGCACACAGTGAGCTTTATCGCGCTTTGTGGACGTGATAGATGATATCCACTGTCAATTTGATATTGTTCACTTGAAACTCGTCAGGCTCAAGTAGTCAAGGGGTTGCGACCTCTTCCTGACGTCATTAAGGCGTGTCTGCGTGGGCGTCAAAGGAACACTCCAGGGACTAATTGTTTTGAAGTGGATGAACGCTGATTGGACAATCCTGTCACAAACATTTACCACCTATCGGAGAGCTGTCATAGAGCGGTCCCACCTCCACGTACCGCGAAATCGAGTTCTTGATCTATAAAGCAAAGTCGCCTCCATAGGAAGGCAGTTGAATTAAAATCCTGAGTAGAGCAAGGAGCTCTGAAAAATCATCTTGTTAGTCTGCGACGGATATCAAGTGTTTTCCAACCGGAACACCAAGACAAGTCTAAATTATTTGAAACAGGATAACAGTATATTTCATCATTTCTTCGGTTTGCTTCGAAGATTTATCTGATACATTCCGATACTCGCGATTTCATCGATCGACAAATTTATAGTAAAACCTCAAGACCTTTTGACCGTTCTACAATTCATTCAATTCAGGTGAGTACAAGTCATACTTTTAAAACCAGTTTGAAAGTTTCAAAGTTAGGTTGATGTCCTTACGCAATAGTTTTAAAGGTTCTTCTCTCACAATAATCTTTATTTGTCGATTTTGTTTTAGATTTATAACCTTCAATTTAAAACCATGTACGGACTTAGCGCAGAACAAAACGTTGTCCCTGACCCTTCGGTCTACGCTCAAGTAAGTACTCTATCATAAACTCTACCGTACTTAACTTAAGTCACTGAGGGATATATTCATTATTCATTTTAATGTAACATTGATTTAAATCACAAAGATGGTCGATTGCTTAACATTTGTTACTCGCGATTTTTCTGCTGTTCTGGTAGTTTGTGATTTTCTAACGTATATTTATTTGGTGTGATATTAAAAAAAGATTTTCGTTTGCCAATATCGCTTGAATGATATGAACAGTCCACTCTTGCGCTCGCTACATGTAAAGGAATGGCACTTTTGATTGTTCTAAATGTGATAATTTCTTGCCATAATGGCGCGCTTAAGACAACGCTCTTTCGCGAAACGTCAAAAAGGTTTAAGGACGCCTGTTAAACTTTATTAACTGAGTACTGAATCTTTGTTTTTTAAAACTCAAGACGGTATAATTTATACTAGTTGTCGAGTCAATGGTAGAAGTAATTACGTGCGGCATGTAAACGACTGGTGACGAAGAATTTTATAATGTTGCGCTTGAAAAGACTCATTGTTCCTTTAGCATTGTGATGAAGCTCGTGCAGCAGCACCAACATTATGGACCGATTACAAGACACTAGTGACTAAACATGGGCAAAGAGAGGAGACAGAAATTCAAACCATGTGATTGAGTGACTTATTTTCTAATCAAAAACATTTGCTCATTTGTGGCTTGGTCTGTCTCGTCTCTTGCCAGTATCTTTTTTCACTGCGTTAAATGTTAAGTTTTTACACACCGTTGTGATGAACACTCTAATCGCTTAATTCATTTTGTACTTTTAGGATTTGATCCCCGATGATCAGTCACTTTTCGACCCTGCCTTCAATGATCCTTACAAGCCACTGAAACCAACCAACAAGAGCGACAATCATTTCTATAGTAAAAAGAGGCCACTGGAATCTGAACTTGAAGAACCACTAGCCAAAAGAGCTTACGTTCCCAGCAATGATTTTGTGGAAAGAAACTCACCATCGCCTGTCCCACAGAACCTTTCGCATGAAAAACGAGTCATAGTTCCAGCCGGTAAGAATTCATATTAAAATTGTCAAATCGTAGTTTGTTGTCTATCAACATTAGTCACACCCAATGAGTTATGTGTCAATCCAGTTGAAACGCGCCCTGTGTCATGTTTTCTCGCACTGCCGATTGAATTTCTCTCTAGTAATCATTCTGAATTGTGACAAGAAGATTTGGGCGGTCTTAGTAAACCCCACCCCGGCTTTTTCGGTTTGACCTCGGACCGTGAAAATGAGAGCGATTACCTTTAAACCGCAAGGCATTAAATTTTGATGAGGGCTGCGACACGAACATTTTTGACTTGCCGATTGGAAGTTGAATTTGAAATATTTGAATATAATGTTCAAGTGCTGAGGAGACCGGAAAGCGTGAATATAGATTGCCTAATTTCGTAAAAAAGGCGGAACAACCCGCTGCGTCTTAGTCTACTACTTTTGTGTTCTTAGTTTGCTGAAGGGATTCGACCATCCATCTTGTTATTAAACTGTGGCTCACCTTGACGAAAATTATTTGTCACTTAAACTTGTTTTAAAAATATGAGGACGAAATTATATCTTGTTACCATTCAAAGGAAACCGCTGTGGCATAACTGTTTCACAGTTCTTTTTATTTATTAAGGTAGGCAAAAAAAGAAAAATTGAATTTTCTTAAAGGAATATTTCTTTGGCCTTGATAAGAAGTGTAAAGGGTTAAGCCGGTCCTTCAAGAAGCTGTGGCTCTTTCTTGTTTGTTAATATCCAGTGAACAAACACTTAAGATACTGTTCTTCTATTACCTGCCGATACTCTTCATCTCGGTATTATCACAGTGATTTAAATAACGGGTTCAAATAACTTCCATGGTGTTCAGCAAGCGTTCATAAAATGCCTCACGAGTCAATCGTTACCAGCTGACTCGGACAAAAACATCACAACTCGACTTTTACTGTAACATTTCTTTAAAAAGTCTACGTTTTTTGAAAGCTCACAAACAGTGTCAATTGCGATAAAGCGCTCTTGATTGTGATGGTTTTATTGCAATTACTCTTCCTATGTGTTTTAATATCTGGTTGAGTTAATTTTCCTTTTTTTTTGTTCAGATCCTCTGTGCTGGACCAAAGAACATGTTCGTCAATGGATCCAGTGGGCCATCAAAGAATTCAGTCTCAAAGACATCGATGCCGATCGATTCGATATGGACGGCAGAGAACTCTGCAAACTGACCAGGGAGGGCTTTATGAAACTAGCCCCAGCCTATAATGGAGACATTTTGATGGCACATCTATGCGTTCTTCGTAAAAGTAAGTCAAAAACACTGTCTTAACACGAAAACCTACTGTTTTTCCCTCAAAAATAGTCATCCAATTAGTGATGAAGAAATCTTAATCCAATCTGATAGTCATCTTTATGGTGAAAGTAAGATGGATTTTAACAATTTAGCCAAAATTCATGAACCAAACAAGCAAGAAAGAAATAGGATTAGTGCCGTTGTTAGTTTTAGGTCAAGGCAAACTTGAGAAAACAACACGCGACATCTGATAGAAATCTAAGTTAATTTGCATGTTTTCAACCCTTATTACTCCCAGAGTCCTATACTTATCTTGTATTTCTGTTCGTTTGTTTCAGCTCCTCTACCAAACCTTACCTCTGATGATATTGACAACGCACTGGCCCCTGCATCCACACAAGGTAAGAATCCCATTTTTTTCATTTTCAAAGTAATGACGTTCGACCCTGTTCGCCTCCAGAAGCTCAGTGGTTAGAGCATCCGAACTAGAACTCAACAGGGTCGTGAGTTCATTTCTCACCTGAAGATCAGATTATTTTTTTCTAAGCTGTAGATTTTACCTTCTTCCAAATTTAAAACGCCTCTCTCGTGAAACATTTTCCTTGAAAAGCATTGTGTTGTTGACGTATAACAGGTTGTTAATTCAAGGATTTTTGGTATTATTTTTTTCAGCGTCTTACCACGCGCCTTCTCCACCAGTGTTTGACTCCAGACAACACCCTGTGATCACTAGCAATCCATCAGTTGTCAGGAGCACTGAAAGTCTTCAAGCACGATTCAGTGGAAATGGTGAGTTCATAGTCTCATTTTATTCCACCTCAAGGTTTTGTTCCCTTAGCTTGCAAGTTGTCGTTTTCATCGGCACCCTTATCAAATTCTCAAATTCTCTCTTACCCTTTAAGACTTGTGCCTTCAATTTTCTTGTAAGTTTCTCTTACTCTAAAAAAAAACATTTCGCGTGTTCTTAAATTATTTATTTTCTCTGTTTGTTATAGTCTATTCATTTGTTTTCTTAATGTTCTTTTTTTCTGTTATTTTTTAGATTCCATTGACAGAAGTTCTTCTTGGGCGTCACCTTCATCCACTCCAAGACTATCCCATATGAAGGACAGTGTTGTTCCTTCCAGACCCATGTCCGTTCCAGAGCCTCAGTCCCTCTCGAGTTCGTTCTCCAGTGCCAACGTTGGTAGCCGCGCCGAGCCCGCTAGCACCGGCAGCGGACAGATTCAGTTGTGGCAGTTCCTTCTCGAGCTCTTGTCAGACCCAAAGAACTCCACTTGCATCGCGTGGGAAGGTTCCAACGGCGAATTCAAGCTGGTAGATCCTGACGAGGTAGCCAGAAAGTGGGGAGAGCGAAAGAATAAGCCAAACATGAACTACGACAAGCTTAGCCGAGCGCTGCGATATTACTACGACAAAAACATCATGACCAAGATCCACGGCAAGAGATACGCCTACAAATTTGACTTCCAAGGATTGGCTCAACTCAACCAGCCAATCACATCAGACGCTCAAGCACATGCGCAAGCCGCGTACAAGTTTCCTGGATCAGACTTCTACGCTGGTTTTCCCGCCGCCTCGTCGCTGTTCCCGCATCCAGCAGCCAACAGCTGTTACCCAATGTCCTATTGGGCGCGGGCTCCACCATCGTATCCGCAATCAAGACCAATGTACGGTCCCCCATTGGGCGCTGGGATGACTTACTACGCTTAGAAACTCTGTCCAAAACAAAAACTTTATAAATAAATTGTCTTTTCTGCTGTCTAATTTTGCAGAAACGAAGCGTTCCTTACAGGAATTTTTTTAAACCATAAAAGCTATTTATTTATAAGAAAAAGAAAAAATCTGAAGCGCTGAATTCGTTTCTGAGTGAGGAAATGTTCATGACGGCAAAAACGTTAGGGAGAGGCCTGTTTTCAAAGTAGATCAACAAATGATAAAATTTTGGTTATTGTTACTTGTTTCCAGTTATTTCAAGTGCAAAGCGTTCTGTTTTCAGACTGCTTTTCCGAAACCATTTTGATAGACTTGACTACACAATATCTTTGTACAGTTATTGTAAATACTGAAAATTCAGCGGTCATATCTTAATGTTATAGTTAGTCTTCGACAGTTTTGTTGAGGTTCCCATCAAACAGCTACGTCTGTATATTTTTTTTAAAAAAATGCAAACTGCATAAAATATTTATGTCAAGAAACATTCTATAAATAATATTGTATATTTGCTTATGCGGAGATCTTTATAAATTGTGAAAGAAAAATAGATAATTTATAATATTTTTTACAATTTTGTACACGACCTTAGTGCCGTTTAATTTGGTGAGAGAGAAAACACACATCATAGGATGTAAATAAAAGAAATATATTTCAAAGAAAAATACTTCTGTTATTTTTTTCTCGCGAGCACCCGTGGGTTATATTGGTCACTTATTCATCTGAATACCCAAGTCTACAAAACTGTTGAAATTAATTTTTCCCCAGAAATGCAAGATGTTGTTATAATGAAGTCTTTGAACCATTCCAATGAAATTGACGACTCTTGTCTTCGATAGTTTTATTTCGTGATTTTTATGGAACAAATCTGGAATTGTTAAATTTCCCCAGTGGTCATGAAGGGGGCCATTGTTCCTTTCACGGGCATGGACCAAGGTTGAAGGAATTGCTCTATAAGGTTTGTAAAACAGCGCTTGTAGCAGAAAAGGCGATCAAGCTTATCCTTTGTCAAGGGGTGTCATCAAGTTCGTCCGAGCATTCCAAAACGCGTTAAGGCGAGATTAATAACAATCACACAGCTGTACGAATGGAATTACGCTTAAATGCAAAATTAAAATTAACTCGAGATGGGCAACCCTGACCCTTTCCTTGAGTAACTGGATTCGCATAGTCGGCATCGTGGCCCGTTACTTTTAAAGCCCTGAAAGCTTAGTTTTATTATACGAGCCATCAGTAACAGCTAGTTACTTAATTCTGTGTTGAAGTTGTCTATCTTTTTTTTTTCCATTTTTTAAAAATCTGGATCAGTAGACCACGGCATGTAGAAAGCGTAACTTGTAGAGCAGACGTTATATTATTATTGTTATTATTATGATCATTTTTATCATATAACGAATTCGAAAGCTCAGCGGTACAAGATGGCGGGAGAACCTAGTATCATCGTTCGCACTGTAAAATACGCCTTACCAGTAACAAGACCAGCATTGCTGATAGTATGTAGCGGCCGCTCCCTCCCCCATCTCCTCAAACAAAATCGCCGATTTACACAGGCTTCATCACCTACTATTGTCGACTCTTGATGGATTTTTTCAGATTGACTCCTCCACGTCGATGACGAGCCGTACTCATCCATTCTCGCACTATATCACATGATATCAGTACCACCTTTTTGGGTCAAAACGTGGCTGAAATAATTAAGTATCCTCGTCATCTTTTCTCATACAAAACTCTAAAAGAGAAATAATGCAATTGCGCTAAGTTGAAAACAAGACATGATGAGTCTTGCCCTATACATATATATTCTTGTTTTAACGCATTTTCATACAGGTCATCGAAAGCCGAAGACCCACAGTCAATTTTAGGTAGAGAACAGAGTATTATGGGCTTTGTTTGGGTAGAGAAGAAGAGTAACAAAACCTGAATTATTATTTTAGGATACTAAGCAGAAAAACAGTAAACTGATGAGGTACGACTAGGGTCAGTATACGATTCTAGAAAACTAATCCACTACCCCTCCTCCAAGCCAGCATTCTCAGATCCTTACAGCGCGAGAATACTGAGGGGAAAATATAAATAAAAATGATAGACAGTTTATATATTTGCTCGATATTTTGGTTTCGGCAAAAATAACGTTCTGTGAGTAAAAACAAAAAAATGATAAATGAATAAGAAAATCGAAAGAAAGTGACAGGTACGGTAAAGAGATACAAGGTGAGAAAACGTATTCATTTCCTGAAGTTCACTAATCACAAAATCAAAATGAAAATACTATATAGCAAGGCTTGTGTTTGAATGCTTAAAGATAAGAAAAGAGACGGAAAACAAAGAGTAAATAATATATATAAAAATATGTGTGTAATTGTATCTCTTGTTATATATAGTGTTATTAATAACTAGTATTTATTGTACTTGTGAAGTATTTGGAAAACGCTGATGTACCAGCTGGTAAACCGTATAGAACTCCAAATAAAAATATCATGGTCTTGTCTTGTCTTATCTTGTCTGATTCAATCCTGGGGGGTGGGCTACTCAACAAAGTTTTATACAGGCAGGCTCCGCTCCGAGGGCCAAACCCTTTCCCTTTTATATACCATTTTTGGCGGAAAAGGTAGCCCTTTCGTATATCTTCTATAATTCATCCCCCTTTCACATATTTCTCCTAGTTTAGAACTTTGCATCCCTTTCAACTGCTGTTAGTGCACGTTTCCTCGACTTTTTGGCAGTCATAAAATGCATCTGTTAGCTTTCTATTGGGCCTTTTACGTTGGAAATGACACAATTCCCTACCCTTTCGGGCGGAGCATAGCCATATCCATTAAAGGGATAAGGGAGTACCCCCAGATTCGATCAGATTTTTAGAACAGCTGCTCTCATATTCAGCAATTAGAAGCACGTTGACGTAAATGGAGTGGTTATAATTATGGCTGGTTAACAAATGACAAGGCACTCCTTAAAATTAAAATCGATGATTTTCACCAGTCTCACCCACAGCAGTACCCAACAAGCGAGGATTACGAACCTTAATGAAGATATTCACCCGGAAGCCAATGATCGTGAGCCTCTTACCATTAACAGTGTAAGGGTCTTTGCAGGACGGTGGAAAACTTAGGCCAGTGGAAAACTGCAAAACCGTTTGAACGGCATTCAGATTGCAGTGGGAAAAAAATTAAAGCTCATACCCGAACGAAAGTAGGAACAGTTGAATTTTCACAAGGATTGAGGTCGCAAAATGAGTTCGAGCTTCTCCGTTGCTGTTTTGTTTAACACAAGCCTTTTCATTGTAGCGGCTTAGCTAAAAAACGCGGCAAAAGATACTGTAGGTTTGAATCATGATAAACTGACTTTCATGACAGGTAAGATTATTCTCGAGTTGAAATATAGGGAAGACGACGAAAAAAAAAAGTTATAAGGTAAAATAAAATGAAATAAACACAGCACAAAATCAGTTTCTTATATTGTGGATTTGAATAGCCATGAGCAAATGGAAACGGGATAATTATTTCTTTTTTAATAATAATAATAATAATAATGGTAAATTAAAAATTTCTTTAGCGCTCTTTGCAGATGTGATAAAAAACGCTTTACAACGCTTTTTCATGTAAAATTAGATACAATATTGAATGGAGAAAAAGTAAAAAATAAAATTTAAAGTGATTTGCTAAAAAGAAAGGTCTTGATTGATTTAGCAGCGACAAAGTAGCGAGCACCATTTTAAAGTTTTCCATTTTCCATATTAAAGTTTTTGTGCCTGACCACTCAGCTACTCCCGGAAAAAGCCCACTTGGAAATGGGCGTTTTTTAATCTTTGCTTGCCGTTCTCTATAATGAAGCACAATTTATTGTAACTAAAACATTATCAGACAAAAGGAAACTGAAGGGACCACAAGAAACAATTGTCCCCTCCCGGACTTCGGAATTCTTGAGACCTCATCGTTGAAGATCGATACTTTGAACTGCATTCCAAGACGGTATCAAGAGATATTTTTTGAAGCATAATTTTTAACGATAAGCAACTTTTATGGCGAAATGTGAACAACTCCATTGTATATACATGTACATGGCGGCCCATTGTGGGCCCATCGCTATTTTGCGAAATGATCCACGTGACGCTTAGTGGCAACGCCCAGAGGCGGCAAACAAAAAAGCAGCCATTTTTGAGATCATAGTCTAGTGTTTGTGGTGTGGCTTTGTTTAGGCTCTCAATTGTTACATCTTGTTTCTTGTGCTCGATCAGAGCCCCTCGGCTTGACTTCGGTCTCTAGGGACAAGAGCGAGTAAATCTTTTGAGAAACTTACAGACGTCGTAAATCCAGAAACTTTTGTGGAATGGGGACGCAAAAATTCATCACCTCACATATGCAAACCTTTTACTTGCCATAAAAGAGTTGGTTTCTTTTTCGCTTTTTTGCTTTGTTTCAGAACTAAGACTCTGAATTTTAAGCTTTATGTGCAGTTTATTCGGACAGTGGTTTTCTGATTGAAGCGAAAGCTGTGTGTCCAGTGAAGAGTCACCTAGCCTGGCCAGGAGATAAGACCGCGGGTGGGGATGGTGCAAAGCAAGGTACAAAGTGAACAGAAACAAAAAACCGCGGCGTCTGATTAAGGAAGTATTGGCCACTGAACAGCTCAAAATAGCAGTACGGACAACTAAAAAGATCAACCGTTGTCAGCTTGGCCAACTCCATTCTTACTTAACGGTGTGTAATGCTGGAAAACAGTGACATGTAAGATCGTTCTCATTTTCATGGACGCTACATGGCCATTAAAGAATTTTCTGGACAGTTCAGTACTTGTTGCTTAACTCTCATCAACCAAGATGATTTGCTGAACCCAAGGCTAACCCGTACCTGGATGTTAGCTAAACATCATATTCCCCGTCAATAACTTTTCATTTTTGATTTCTCTAGCGGCCTTTTCGATTATTGTCGGGCTAGGTTTGAAAGCCGCTAGCGAGTCTACCTACTGAATGGTATCGTTCCCGCGACGTTACACTAGACACGCTATGTCACTATTGAAATTTTTGCTTGATTAAACTCGCCGCCGCACTCTATACACTGCGAAGAAAACAATGCTGTATTGCCCCGGCAACTGGATGAGCGTATATAGCTTTCTTGCAAAAATACAGCATGAAAAAGCAAATTTTAAAAAGGTAGATATGCATGCATGAACGCAGAACAAAGGGTAAATATTTTAGAATGTGGAGTACGCATATGAAATATTGGCACTGTAGTTTCTTCTCTCACGTCTTCGCCGAAGGGCGCGCACACTTTGAGAGCGAACTGTTCGTGTGACTTCCTGCACATGCCTTAAGAAATCATTCTCGACCCCTATTGCGCATGACTGCGGCGCGGAGTCAAAAGCGTGAACTCAGGGGTCGAAAATGTTTGTTTCAAACAAGCCTGCGCAGTATAGTTTTTCGGAAAAACGTAGAAAAAAAGTAAAACGTTATACCTGTATGAACACCAACTGTATAGAGACCACATTAAATTTTTTGACAATGCGTGTTATCTGTGTGCCGATATATGTTGAGAGTGTAATACAGTTAATTTTCTACTGACTCACGGTTCTAAAACCGGTGAAAGCATCCGTGCATCAAATCACACAGATTCCATTAAATTTCCTGCTAACCTGGTCATGTAAAAGTCACAAGTTATCAGACTTGTGCTATGACAGCATTACTGAATGGTTTCCGTACTTGACTCTTGTACGTATTTTGTTCAATATAAACAGGAATAGGATGTTTTAAGGAGCAAAATAATATTTCCTTGATTTTAAAGTGTCACGTCTCGAAAAAACTATGTTTGACACGGTAGTGTATTTCACTCTGCGTCGACTGACCCCCCACCTCCCACCAGTTTCCTATTCTTTAACCTTTTCCGTTTTTCCCCCAAATTTAACCTTTTCCGCTTCTTTAAGATCATTGCAAGCAAGAATTGAAGGAAAAACTACCAAAAAGCAAACAGTCAGACAGTATTAGTACTGTATGTGACGCTGATCTACAATTAACTCGTTTCTCCCGAGTGACCTGAACGAAAGGGTAGCCTGCATTGCCTCTTTAATTAAAAATCTGTGGTGCAGTGGAGTAATTTTGCATGCATGAAATTCTCTGAGCACATAACCAAACTGCGTGTCCCCGCAAAGTGCGGGATTCAATATGAATATAATACCCTTCATAAACAAGGTAACTGGTTAAGCTGAGCGAGAGACTTTGTTATGATTTGCCAGCTTTGATTTAGGAGTATCCACTGTTTTAAAATACGATATGTAGATTTTTCTCCACTCTTGAACGTGTCATGAATTATAGAACAAGACAGGAAGTGGCCAGAGAGAGGCGGAGGTTTCGTAACGTTGTACCACTTACGTAACTGAGGAAGATAAGGTGCAATGAACACTGGCGCGACAGAGTAGTACGTAGCCTGCACAGAATGACAGACATTATCTGTTCGCGTTTTTCAGGTGAGCGAAATTCTTGCGCTCCACGCCTTCGCCCACCAGAAAAAGGCGAAAAATAAAATGCCTGTTCTGCTGGCTACGGAAAACTCTGTTACGAAGTGCACATTGCACCTTAAAAAAATGTATCTCCCTTTGTTAGGTCAGACGTTTTTCGGTTTGTTTCATTTTGTATATTGTTTGATGCTGGTATCTGATCAAAAATGCCGCATCTCTACAACAGGTGACAAAGCAGTTCACTTAATCCCCCACCCCCTCCACCCCCTTGCAGTACAGGAGCTTACCAGTAGGACTACTGGCCATTAACTGGTCTGATTCTTACCGTGAAAAAAAGGAAAGCAAAAATGATACCGAACGGTTTTTGTTTCAAAGACCCGGTTTCTAACTTTTTGTTTTATCATTTACTGCGACAGTTAAACAATATTTGGTTACGGTAGCGTTCTTGTGCAATACCATGTCATATTGTTCAGATTGTGATGTAGTTGTTAAGAAGCTTGAAATTGATTCCATCTTCTCATCATGCAGATCGTGCATATCATAGCTGATGAATTAATTTATTGAACCACCAAACACTTACTATGAGAAAGACAAGACTAAGTGAATGTTGAAGACATTTTAAAGAACAAAATCGTCTGTTCAATTGCACCCAAACCTTTTGATCAGCTCAAACATTCACGCAGTAATGTTTTATATATACTATATAATAGTTTGGTATGTTATGGAGTTGTTGAAGGACTTATAAAAGTTAAGTACTACACTGTATTGG